TAGTAGTAGTAGTAGTAAGTAGTAGTAGTAGTAGTAGTAGTAGTAGTAGTAGTAGTAGTAGTAGTAGAGTAGTAGTAGTAGTAGTAGTAGTAGTAGTAGTAGTAGTAGAGTATAGTAGTAGTAGTAGTAGTAGTAGTCGTCGTAGTCGTAGTAGTAGTAGTAATAGTAGTAGTAGTAGTAGTAGTAGTAGTCGTAGTAGTCGTAGTCGTAGTAGTAGTAGTAGTAGTAGTAGTAGTAGTAGTAGTAGTAGTAGTAGTAGTAGTCGTAGTAGTAGTAGTAGTAGTAGTAGTAGTAGTAGTAGTAGTAGTAGTAGTAGTAGTACAATCCGGGGTCCATGCTCCGTTTTTTGAGGCCTTCGAGCCCTGCGGATTCCTCGGGATTCTGCGAGAACCTTGTTAGGATTCTGCATGATTCCTGCCGATTCTGCAGGAATCTTGAGGCTACTGAGGGTGCCTCAGGACTCTGTATTCATGCGGCTTCCACGGGATTCCGCAGGGGTTCTGGATTCATGCGGATTCTGGATTCATGCGGATTGCGACCCGCCGCCCAGGGCTCAAGTCTGGGGTCAGGGCTCAGGGCGCATGGCACAGGGCACGAGGCACAGGGCCCAGGGCATAGGTCTCAGGGCTCAGGGCGCAGGGCACAGGGCACAGGGCCCAGGGCCCAGGGCTCAGGGATCACGGCTCACGGCTGAAGGCTCGGGGCGCACGGCACAGAGCACGGGGCACAGGGCTCAAGGCTCAGGCCTGAGGGCACAGGGCTGAGGGCTCAGGGTCCAGGGGCCAGGGCCCAAGAAGCAGGGCTCAGGGCTCGGGGCCCACGGCCCCAGATTCCCGGGTGTCCTGTTGGTTGCTGGAGATGCCTTTGTATTCTTCAAGATGCCTCTGGATTCCTTTGCGTTCCTTCGGGTTCGTCTGGTGTCATCTGGGATCCTTCAGAGTCCTCTAGATTCTGAAGGGTTCCCCGAACTTCTTCGTGGGTCTCCAAGTTCCCTCAGGATTCTTGTGGATTCCGGCACACCCGTCACACGGTTCGTGGCCCCACAGGGAGCTCCACCGAAGGCTCCAGTGGCAAGGTTTACATGCGCCCCCGCCGCTAATTTCGGCACGCCCGTCACAAAGTTCGCTGCCACATAGAACGCTTCGCCGAAGGCCCCAATGGCAGGTGACCCACGATTCATGTCGGCACGCCCCTCACACGGTTCGTGGCGCCATAGGGAGTCCCACCACAGGCCCCAATGGCAGGTTTACATGCGTCCCCGCGATTCATGTCAGCATACCCCTCACACGGCTCGTGGTGCCATACGGAGCTCCACCACACGCCGTAGTGGCAGGGTTAAAATGCGTCCCCGCGATTAATTTCGGCACACACGGCTCGTGGCCCCATAGGGAGCTCCACCGAAAACCCAATGGCAGTGTTTATTTACAAGCGTCCCTGCGATTGATTTCGGCACACCCTTCGCACGGTTCGTGGCCCCATAGGTGTCGGCTCCTCGTTGGGCGCGGCGTGGTCCAAGTCTAGCGGGATCCAATCGGGTAGCAATTCGGGATCTGAAGGAATGCTCAGGCGGCTGGGAAACGCACCACTTCTAGTGGAATCCTAATGGGGAGCAATTCGCCTCAGTGTCGTTGTGAATATATGATGTATGTTTTGTTTATACGTGTTTTTCTTTCTGAGCGCGTTCCCGAACCCGAACCCAAACCATTACACCCTTTACACCCTCTTTAAGTGGAACAAGAACCCCGGACAACCCGACTAAGATTAGGAGTAGGAGTATGGGTAGGAGTAGGAGTAGGAGTAGGAGTTCGAGTAGGAGTAGGAGTGGGAGTAGGAGTAGCAGTATAGTAGCAGGGAAAGGAGGAGAAGGAGAATGAAAGGGGGATCCAGGAGAACAATAACCCCACTCAGCATGTGGGGAACAAAGACGAGGGACCCAGTGGGATTACTCGTTTTGTTTGGGCCCTGTTGGGCCATTTTAGAGCCCTCTCTTGGGGGGTCTAAGGGCCTTTTCCAAGACGGCTTGCTGGGAAGACCCCAGGAGGGCCCCAAGAGGGACCCAGGAGGCTCCCAAGAGGGTCCAAGTGTTCCCAAAGGGAGCTCCACAGCCTCACACCTTGACGCAACCGTTGTCTCACACTGTGCGTTTTGTTTGGGCGCTCTTAGGGCAATCTTGGAACCCTGTTGGGGATCTGTTGGCCACAAATGGTTTCCTTGGTAGGATCCGTCGGGGGCTTCTTGGCTGGCGTCCCAGAAAGGTCCGAAGGTGGCTCTAAGAAGGCCCTGAGAAGCCTCCAAGAGGGGCTCAGGAGGATTCCGCTCAAGAGGGCTCCAAGATTGAGCTCCGAAGCCACACAACAGTGCGACACAACCGGTGTGCCACACTGTGCGTTTTGGCCTGACCATCTTGTGGCCATTTTGAAGCCATCTTGGGGACCTTTTGGGGCCTCTTGGGGGGGGCCAAATGATCTCTTCGGGCCCATCCAAGACGGCTTGGAAAGGCCCCGAAAGGCTTCCAAGAGGGCCTCAGGAGGCTTCCAAGAGGGGCCACGAGTGCTCCCTGAGGGAGCTCCAGAGCTACACTGTGTGACACAACCGTTGCGTCACACGATGCGTTTTGTTTGGGCCATCTTTGGGACCGCCTGCCACCCTGTTGGGAAACTCTAGGAGCCCCCATGGGAGCCCTCTGGGCTCTTAGAGACCCTCCCAAGCCATCTCCGAGTGGTCGCTCGGGGGGGTCCCAGGTTAGCGCTGTCTAGCGAGATCTGCGGATAGCGCTGGCTTGGAGTTCCTTGGGGCTTTCTTGGAGCTTTAAGAGGGTCCCGAGAGGGCCCCCCACGGGAAATCAAATCCTTGAACGAACTACGCCCGGAGGGCTGGTGAGATTGCAGGGTCAGTACGGGGTGTTGCAGGGTCGGTTGCAGGGTATTTCAGGGTCGTTTGCAGTGCATTGGAGGGTTTTTGGAGGGGTCTTTACACAGTGTGGCAGGAACCTCTGCAGGGGAGAGGGTACGGAGAGGGGTCAAGACACCCACCCGCCCGCAAGCCGTCTAGCTCATCTAGCTCACTCCCACCCGCTCTCCCTACACAGAAGTAACACCCGAGCCTGAGCATGTTCAGCGGTCGTCTTCGGATGGGCAGCTACTGGAAACCGAGCAGGGGCGAGGAGGGGACCCAATCGTGGCAGGTACGCCCCGTGCGCCAGATGCGCCACGTGCTCCGAGTGCGCCAGGTCTGCTGCATGGTCCAGCCGCGCAAGGTTCGCCACGTCAGGGACGCGCACAGAGTGTACCAGGTGCGCCTGCGCAGGTGACAGCACACATCGGGAAGCATGTCGCCCCCCACTACCCTTGGCGAAAACCAATGCGCAATTGCAGTGGGGAGGCCGTCATGATGTCTGGTGGGCTTGCACACCGCAGGCAACGTGCCAGCATCCCCGCCGCCCTTGTCAAAAACTAGTGGGCACCTGATCGAGGGGTGGCCGCACACGGTCCAGATTTAGCAGCGAAGTGTACTTATATGTATTTGTTTCTGGATGGACATAGGCTTTGCGCGCAACAGGCAATATGAGCCCCCCATGCCGCCCCTGTCAAGAAACAGTGCAAAATGCTTGTGGGCCCACGAGCCTTATCCAAGATTTTGCTACAACATGTATTTCGTATTGTTTTTGACAGCGGTCGTGCGCGACGCTTTGGCGAGGTGCGCCACGCGTGCCAGGCGCGCCAGATGCGCCACGCACCCCTGGGGCCAAGCGTGCCAGGCATGCCTGGGGCGCCAGATGCGCCACGTGCTCCTCGTGCGCCAAGTGTGACGCATGGTCCAGCCGCGCCAGGTGCGCCACGGTTGGGGCATGCGTAGAGTGTGCTAGGTGCCCCAGCGCACGTGATAAACACATCCCTCACCAGCTTTCGGTGGTTTAGCGATTCTGGCATCTCGGGGGCGTCCTTGGGAGCTTCGACGTTATTTGGAACCGTCTTTGGGCCGTCTCCAGGCCTCTCGGAGGCGTGCCGGAGACTGTTTGAGCCAATTCGCATAATCTTGCGTCATCATTGGCCATCTTCTGGCATCTGGGGCCATCTAGCAGCCATCTTGGCCCAAAGCACCTCCCAGGGATGCTTCTAAGTGCCCAAACTCTTCAAGCACTGCGTGGACATGTTCCGAAGATTCTGTCTGTGGGACAGGGGGAGCACTAAATAAGGCTGCACCGACAGAGCCCGCAAGATCGTTTCTTGGAGCTCTACTGGGACTTTCTGTTCCGCGTTCGAGCGGCTTTGGGGCCGTCGAGTTGCCCATCTGGGTCCGCCCTTTTTAGGGCTCTCTTGAGCTTGGAAGATCTTGGAGCCATCTTGAGGCCTGCGGAGATCAGGTGCACGACAGACATAGATCAAACAACGCGCAGAGTTTGAAGGAGTTTGGATTCGGCGTTTCCTTGAGAGGCTCTGTGGTCACTTTGAGCCGTTTCGGGGCTTCTTCCAGACATGTTGGAGGCCGTATTGAGCCGCCTTGGGCTCTTGTGTGCCATTTTGGAAGTAATCTTGGGCTTGATGGGACCATTTTGGAGTCCTCTGGGGTTCAGAGGCACCCTCTGACACCTGCCCCTCCAGACCCAGGGAAGGATTTCAAGGGGGAAAGCCCTCCCCGATGGGTGCGAAAAAGGCTTCGCACCTGAGCCTAGAGGTCTGGTTGGACTTCTATGATAGGGGGTGCCTCTCTCGTGATTTCGTCTTTCTTTCTTTACTTCTTTTTTGTTCCTCTCTCTCTCTCTTTCTCTACCTGTCTCAGTCGGCTTCGCTGAGAAGGTGGAACCTTAGCAATCGCATCTTCAGCACCGTGCAGCGGAGCGCCGCGTGGGGGGTGGGTGAGCGGCTTGCCGTGCAGCTGCCACTGCTGCTCCACCCGCAATTCCTGCCCCTGCCCCCGATCGGCTCCGCAGGGGCAAAGGCTTCGGCAAGGATGTCGGCAAGGATTTCGGCAAGGCCTTCGGCAAGGGCCCCGCTCCGGTCATGCAGCCCCCCCCGTCCTTCGGCGGTTGCGGTGGCCCTGGTCTCAAAGGAGGCGCCGCGCAGGGATGAACTGCAGGAGGAGGAGGAGGAGGGGGAGGAGGAGGAGGAGGAGGAGGAGGAGGAGGAGGGGGAGGAGGAGGAGGATAAGTGTAATCCCAAGAGTCATCAACGATGTTGGAATAAACCCTCCCTCCAAGCTCCCTCTTCATAGGTCCCTACAACGGTTCATTTCCATTGCAGGAACTGCCTCTTTGGAATACAGCTGTTAGAAGACCCTGAAGCATGCCAAAACATTGTTCTCGGGATTACAACGCCACGGATCAACTTGACAGTTGCCGCTTGAAAACCCTGATTCGTGCCAGAACACCATTCCTGGGACTTCAACGCAGCGAACCAACATGAGTGTTGCACCCGCATAATCCTGAATCCTTTCAAAACATTGTTTCCGACACGTTGATGATGGGAACGCGTGAACTTCTGGCAATTGTTATAAGGGATGTGCGCCGCGCTAAGGCGAGAGCCGCATTTTGAAAAGGAACCGCCCTCAATCCGTGAAGTTCTGGCAGATCTGTACCATGAGTGTGCGCCGCGCCAAGGTGATAGCCACACTTTGAAAACCACCCGCCCTCAATCCGTGAACCTCTTTGCACATTTGCACAACGAATGTGCGCCGAGCTAAGGCGAGAGCCACATTTTGAAAACGACCCGCCCTCCATCTGCGAAGCTGTTCCCAATTTTTAAGCGTCAGAGTCATACGTGGTGCGGAAATCTCAGGCGAAACGCCCAGCCCGCCCCAAACACTGGCCTCGGGTGCGGCAGGGAGAAGTTATTCATAAGGAAAAGGAATGGAGGAGGAGGAGGAGGAGGAGGAGGAGGAGGAGGAGGAGGAGGAGGAGGAGGAGGAGGAGGAGGAGGGGGAGGGGGAGGAGGAGGAGGGAGGAGGGGGAGGGGGGGGGAGGGGGAGGGGGCGTGGTGGAACGCAGGCATGGCGAAGGGTTCGCGAGCTCTCGTCGTGGTGCTACGCTCCCCGCCTAGGCTCCCTGTTCTGTAAGAGGAAGGCTGAGAGAGGCGGCGGGGGCGGCAGCGGTGGGTCCCGCCTCGAAAAAGGAGGCGAAGGAAATATTCCCTGACCAGGGGGCCCGTCTCCTGTGGGCCGCGGCCCTCCTGGCCTGGCGCCTGCGCAGCGCCTCGGAGCGATTGGCCGCTATGCGTGCCAGCTGCTCTGGGGTGAGGCGGGGCGGGGGGGGCGGCGGCGACGGCGGCAGCGGCGGCGGGGGAGAGGAGGGGAGAGAGGGGAAAGGCTCCAACGAACTCTCTGCATCTAACTCCTCATCCGATCCTGGTTCATGCATGGGAATATTCATGCTGGGGCTGTCAGGAGCAGGAGTCGGAGCAGCGGTGGTAGCCGGAGTCGGAGCACATATGGGGCCCGTAGGAGTCTCTCTGGGATCTTCCTGGAACCTGTGCATCTCTGGATCGGCTCTCTTCATCTTAGTCGTTCCTGCCGCGAAGTCTGGTGCGGGCTCGAAATCCACACCTATCTCTGGCAGTAAAACTTGCATAGGTCGGCGCACAACGCGCTCTCGTCGAATTGCTGCTCGTCGTTGTCAGCATCTGCATATATACTCTGAATAGAGGCTGCAATGGCTGCTGCTAAACGTGCACACATCTGCTCTGGATATGTTTTCTTGGCATGCGTCTTAAAGACCTTACGCCCTCCAACAAGTTCCTTCCCCTGCAGTATTTTGTGCACTCCTTTCCCGTGGTGACACCAGCCATTGCCTGGTCCTTCGCACAGGCGTCTTCGCAAACATGGCATCCTCAGTCCGAGGAGACGCGTGGGAGCTCTTCCAAACTCCGCAGGGTCTCGATCTGTCGGCTGCAACGTGCATTGGTCAAAGTCGGCCGTGATCGTGATGGGGGCTGAGGCTAGGGCCTCTAGGGGCTCCCAGTGGAAGCTGCTGGGGGCTTCTGGCCTCCAGTGGGCCGGGAGGGGATGTTCGATCCACCCAGAGGTCCCCGCCACCATGTGGCAGCCCAAGAGGAACACCAGGTTCTGCAGTAGCGTATTGGCCGCATGTAGTTGGAGGGCCTGTCGTTCAGAAATCCATGGGACGCCCCAGTACCACTCATGTGTACGTAGTGGGGGGGGGACCCCCGTCCAGCCATCTTGCCGCGCTCCAGGTTTCACAGGGCCCCCCCCCTGTGTTCCACACCCGTCTAGCCAAGATGTGTTCACCCCACTGTGCGATAGTATCTGTGCGCATGAGGTCCCCCATGTCTGTGTCAATGGCTATGTCCACTGAAAGCATGATAATATGGTAGGCTGTCGCAACATGCTCCTGCTCAATCCAGGCCTGAACGTCGCCTTCGCGTCGCCTGCCTGAAAAAAGGTTGAGCACAAAAATCTCCTTTCTGTGCACCCGTACGGGTATCCACTCGGCGGCTGGTCCACTGAAATCCTGCGGTCGATATCTGTAGTATCTGTCACTGTACGTAAGTCCTTCCTGCACTGCTGGCTGGGGGGGATCAGTGAAGAGAGCTGTGTATGCTGATAATGCAGTAGGCCCTATTTCGTATGCATGTGTACGAAGAAGTTCCTTGGCCTCACTCTCAGAGAAAAAGGCTGCTGCAAACATGGCTGCTGGGTAGAGCCCTTCCATTGGATATTGTACATGTGCTGGGAATGCTGCTCTCCATCTGCCTAGTCCTGCACGTCGCTGCTTCGCATGCAAGTCGAGATCTGCTTGTCGCAGCTCCTCCGCCCTCTCTGGAGGGACCGTGGTTCCGTGCAAAGTGTAGGCCAGCTGGCACACAGCATTGTCAAAGGCAAGGTGATCCCTGAGAAGACGCCGAGAGGAGAAGGCCATAGAGCACGCCATGCATACTGTCCCCTCCCCCATGAACCTGGATACCACATGTACCTGGCTGTAGTGTACGCGCACGATGTGCTGTCGCGTGCTCTTTGCAGTCTTACCCACATAGTCACACCACATGCATCGGAGATCGGCTTGCACCTGTGGGGGGGGATGGAGAGGGTGAGTCACGTTCGTGATCGGTATTGGTACTCCTGCTGGGTGCACAAGTTGAAAGAAATCCTGCTGCGCCTTGTCGGCCAAGGCTGCTCTTGCCGCTGCATCTGCGTGCGCAGCGAGGGTGGCGTGCAAAACTTTCTTCCAAGCTGGGAGTGCAATATTCGAACTTCCCATGCCTGGAAGTCCTCAGCTGGATCTGGCATATCACGAAGTCGGCAGTTGGTGGTTCGCACCCACTGTAAGTCCTGTAGTACTCTGTGTAGCCATGTATGTTTGTGTATGTGCGCCTTGCGATAAGCATGCGTAAGTAGGCTGCGTAGCGTAGGTGTGTCATGATCTAAGAGGCGACCCAGCAAGCGTAACCTGTGTACTCTAAGCACCGCACGTAAATCCGCCCGTCGTGCCCGTGCCAGTATGAGCCTGTCGGGGTCTGCTTCGGAGTCCTTCTGAGGGGCCCCCAGAACCTGACGATATTTGTTGATGATCAGGTGCTGGATGTGCGCGTGCTGAGCTTCCGTGAGCTCGGGCCATGTACCCGCGTTGTAGAGGAGGCCCGCGACAATAAGCGTGTCCACAAAGTGCAGAGTGGCCTGTGGTGGGGCCCAATAGGGGAGCCACAGACCCGTCTACGCAGTAGTGTACTAGACGACCTCACAGACGCTTCCCGATGGGCCAGCTCGGACCCGATGGATCCCAATTCGTCCAGCTGCGTGCCCAAGTGTGGGTATGTCCTCACTGCAAGCAGAGTGAAGCGTCCTAAAAGCTCTGCTTGGATCTCGAAGCGGCCTTCACGTTCGAGCCATAACTCCCGTTTGGCACGCTTGGCGCCAACTCCTCTAAGTTGAAACAACACCTCCGTCTTGCCTGCGGCGAAATTGAGCCTGAGGCCTCTTCTCACAAAGCTGGCAGCGACCACTGCCGCTACCTTGGGCGCGGTCTCAAGCAAGTGCAGAGCTGCTCCTAGGACAACAATCGCACCATCATCAAACCAGCACACCTCTAATCCTCCTCGCATAGTGTCGGGTGCTTGCTGCATCATGTCAGACATTGAAGCATGTAATGAAATAGGTATACGTAGGTCTAGCTCCAGCTCCTGCAGTCCCTGCTGAGCTTCCTTCACGCATGCTGCCATCACGTAGTTGAAAATTACGTCGCCTAGCTGCTGTCCTGGCACCGCTCCTTCAAGCGAGAAAGCAACTGCTGACGCTCCTGGGTGCCAGAACCAATTGCCTGAGTAGCTAGAGGCTGTGAGCGCGCGTATGTGTCGTGATATCCCTGCTTGTTCCAGTAGTGTGTGTTGCTCAGCAATATGAGCCTTGGGGTCCTCAATGGCACCAGGTGGGAGCCCCGCTGTGTAGTATGCTGTATAGGTCCGCATCTGAGGTGCCCAACTGCATAACTAGCTCGCGCACTGCCCGATAAAAAGCTGAGACTGCGTCAAGCATGAAAAAGAGCGCTGATATCTTGAGCGTCTGTGCGAGTTCCTGGAACGAGCGTGTAGCAAGCGCTGCAAGGTCAACCCCTCTCCCCGCAATTCCTCCATACCGCGAGTCCCTTGCATTTGCAGGGAGGGCCTCTGCTAGCGGCGCTCGCAGTAGCTGTCGGTATTTTTTCCCAGGCTGGGGGGGATATCATCGCAGACCGATGATTCTTGCATGTGGCTGGGGTAGCTTTCTTCTTCCAGATGTTCCAGTAGTTGCCCCCCTTCCATTGCAAGGGTTCCTCGATGCGGGTACAAGCTTTGACGGCCACAGGATGGAACAGGGCTCCCAGGGCCGTGGCACAACTTCTGGGAAGGGCCCCTGGGATGCCGTCTAAGCTGGCAGCTGAGGGCTTGGCAGTGCGGCAGGCTCTTTGGTAGTTGGAGAGGGTAGGGAGAAACACTTCCTCATATGAGATATCATGTGTGAGATCCTGAGGAAGGGATGGGATACTTCGCGCAAATGTGTTGGCGTCGGCAACTGGCACTACCACTCCCACTTCTTCTGCCGCAAAGTGGCGCAACCATCTATATGCT